AGAAAAAAAAAAAGAATGGTGAATAATCGATTCGTCTCAATAAAATAAATAAAGAAGAAGAAGATGTTTCTTAAAGCGGCAAAAAACCCACACACCAAACAAACTTCTTTCCATTTTGTTTTTTTTTTTTTTTTTTTGTTGCTTTTTTTTTGTGCTATCGGCTTCTATCTACAGCTATAATAATTCTTGCGGCTATGTCAGTATATTACAAAGCACCTATTGTATGTTATATTTAAACAAAACGAAAGAAAGTGATCCAAATAGACCTATCTCTTTCAAAACATATGTTTATGGGACTTCATCTCAAAACATAGTTATGACTTTCTCGAATCAGTTCGAAAGTCTTTTAAGCATAAGTTTTCAATGAACATTATGCATGATGCATCTATGGTTCATTACACCTTTCTAGTATGCGGTAGGCGGTAACCAAACTTAATCATTTGTTTCAACAAAAATTGTTGATATGTTTATTTTATTTTCAAGTGCAATATAAATTAGGGATATATGGATCCAAATGGTGTAGAATCTAGTCATTTATTCATCGTATAATTAGCCAAAACACACCCGGAAAAAAAAAAGGTTTATAAGATATACTCAACTTTGAACACAAGCAACTACGCTGAACTAGTCACTTGAGGTTGTGATGTAACTCAGATTTGGTAAAGTTAATAGGTTTGATCAGCTGATTAGTGTGCAAAGATACTTGCCGTACTTACTGCAATCTTGAAAAGAAACTATGTATCTACTAAATAGATCATTAGAACATTTATATAGCATCAGAAGCTCAAATTACCATATAAAAACATAAAAAGAAGTTTCAATTCTACTTCAATTTGTGTGCTTGCACTACACTAAATATGGAAAAATTCGAGAAGCCATCATTGGATATGGTTAAGTTCTATGCGAACCACCAAGTTGATGTGTACAATTTGGCTCCAGTGGGCGAAAGGAGACACCATACCTTATAGTCTTCAAGACTAAGTCTTCATCACTCTATTTCTCACCTACTTCCATGTTTCATTTCTAGTTTTGCTTTTATATTTATATATATGTGTAACGGGAAATTTCCTAGGTTAGTAGTTTTTATATTATTTAATATGCTTTATTGATAAACATTTTACTAACTATTAGTTGGGATATCATAAACAAATTACTTTTGCCGCTTTTGACAAAACCATAGCCATCTTATTCTTTGACATTATACTATAAATTATTATTTGTTCTTACGTCAATACTCAAATAATCGTTCCAAAATATTGGTCTTCATTATACTTCAAAATATACATAAGCTGACCAGAACTACGTTTACTTCAACCAAATTGTGTTTTAACTACGAATTTTTTTCATGGCTCCACGATAAAAAAAAAAAAAAAAAACAATCGTATTTGTTGGTATACTATATATAATTTGGAACGTACAAGTACTTGATCGAAGATGATAAGATGAAATCTGAAACGATAGATAGAGCTCACCGGCAAGCAAAACATGGCACGTGAGAAGAACCTAAACTTGTTATCAAAGTTATTCCTCAACTCTACATTTTTGCACTGAACAATTTTGTTTTGTCAGTCCTGACTAGTCAGTCTAACAAAAGGCTACAGGGTACGTATATTCTTTATCTAATAATTCCACAATTAACTTTTTAAAATTATTATTGTTATTAGTGTTGTCTCTCATTCTGAAAGAAAAAAAATTATGTGTTCATAACATATAGTTACATCATCCTACATGTTTTAAGAATCTTAACATCATTCAAACAAGTAATGAATAATAAATAACTTTAGTCTGGACGTTTTTTTCCCCGTCTTGTCGGAACTATTATGCGTTCAAAGCGGTGTTACATACTAGTTGGGCCATAGTTTGCTATTATTGGGCTCAATAATAATGGGCTTAAGGCCTTATTAGAAAACGGCGACGCAATTGAAGGAGTCTACGGTGAAGAGAAGGGAAGCTTTCGTCGGCGCCGTCGTCGTTGGGTGCCGGAGACGCGATGGAGCTCGGAGTGATTGTGTACAGATTATACAGAGCGTTAACCTACGGTGTCTCGCCGTTAGTTCACCTCCATATACGGTGGCGCAGACTTCGGGGTCTAGAGCATTGTCGCCGTTGGTCCGAGCGTTTTGGTCTTCCCTCCGCCGTACGTCCGCCGGGATCGCTTATCTGGTTTCACGCCGTGTCTTTAGGTTATCTTCAAATTCTAACTCAACGAAACAAAACTGTTAAATTCTTCACTGCTCATTGCAGTTAGTCTCCGAATCTGAGAAATTAGGGGTTTTTTTGCTGCTTGGTTTGAGTGTCTCTCAGGTGAAGGTATGGCTGCAATTCCTGTAATCAGACACTGCAATGAACTAAAGCCAGATTTGACTATTCTAATGACGACGACGACTGTATCTGCATTGTATGACGCATTGATACAGAAAGCTAAAATTGAAAATGATAAAAAGTTTTGTCTTTGTAATTTTGGTTTCTTACAATATTTTCGTTGCAGTGAAGTGATAAAGAATCAACTTCCCATTGGTGTCTTACATCAGGTATGTTTTGATTGATAAGATGATGATATATCTCGGAAGCTTTTTTAATTATGTGCTGAAGTTTCAAACTTTGGCCAGTTTGCACCACTGGATACACCTGTGGCTATTGACAGATTCCTTGCCCATTGGAAACCAAATGCGATTATCATAATGGAGAATGAACTGTGGCCTAATCTCATCATGGCTGCTGCTGGACTTCTAGTAATTTTTTTGATCCCTCTTGTTGTTTATAATATGGAGGTGATAACTTGTGCAAGGGTAATGAACTCTTTGCATTCGTTAATATTGTGTATCCGTTGTCTCAGATTCCGTTGGCATTATTGAACGCTCGTATGTCTACAAAATCCTTTAAACGGTGGTCTAGTCCTCTCGTTCTACCGCTGATATCCTTGTTGCTATCTAAATTCTCATTGATAGCCCCACTGGTATGTATGCTAACTTCAGCAAGTCATTTTTTTATTGTAATCTTCTCTGATTCATTGATTGTATTCACTATTTGCCTCAAATGCGACAGAGCACCCTGCAGGGTATACATTTCCAGCTGCTGCATGCGTCACCTTTTGTCATAAATTATTCGGGTGACTTAAAATACGGTATTGTAGTCCACTTATGCCTTGAAGATATTCATATATTAGATATTATGTGCAACCCATTATATTCTGCTTCTTAGTTTCGTTTTGTTTTTCTTTTCAGTTACTGAATTTCTCATACTCTCTCTGTTTAGTCGATATAAAGATCCACATGTTGTCTGCTTTTTCTTCCAGTGGTAAACAAGTTCCATGTATCTAATGGAACATCTGAAAGTATTAGAGATCTTAAAGTAGAACTCTCAGAAATGAAGGTCTGGATTGCATCTTCATTACATAAAGGCGAAGAAGAAGGTACTAACCTTTTACCCTTGTTGATTAGTGTGTGGATCTGCAGTCGCTTCCATGACTTGATTTTTTGTCACAGTCGGATGAATATGGTTTTGACTCTGTTTCCTTTTATTTGGTACGCTTTTTCTGACTGTTCTATGCATTGCTTCAAATTGATGATCAAAGTCTTGTGTGCAGTCATTTTGGGAGTTCACAACATGCTTCTCAAATCACATCCTGACTCTGTTGTCATAATTGTGCCCCGACATCCAAATCATGGTCAACAGATTGCTCATGTATGTACCAAAACCACCTTCTGTTTATTTTCTTACTATTGGCTTATTGAAGGTTGATCTTTTTGGTGAATCACATGTCATTTTCCTCAACTCCTTTTGTAGAAACTGCGCAAAGATGGCCAAAGTGTAGCTCTAAGGTCTCAAAACAAAAAACTTATGTCAAGGAAGACGAATATATATGTGGTGGATACACTAGGTTTGGGTTTCGCTACTTTTAGTTTATCTTCCTAGTGCTAGTCCCTTTTCTTCAAGAACCTAATCCGTGCTGCTTGTTTTCTTCAGGTGAACTAAGGGAATTGTACAATATAGCTTCAATAGCCGTCATTGGAGGCTCTTTTATCCCAGGCTTAACTGGTCATAACTTGTCTGAAGCAGCTGCTGCTGGCTGCGCCGTTATTACAGGTTCTCAATGATAATATGAGATGCTTGTATAGTATCATTATTTCTCTCTTTATGTCTAACATAATCTTTTTTTAGGATGTCATGTTGGGCATTTCTCTCACATGGTGAAGGCCATGCAGCAGTCGAATCCCTTATCGGTTACACAGCTCTCGACACAACTAGAGCTCAAAGAAGCTGTCGACTTGCTCCTGAGTAACCCTGAGATCTTGGAAACTCATCAGAGAGCTTCTAAAGAAGTTTACGAATCACTATCAAGCTGCATTATCACTAACATCTGGAATCTTCTCAATCTTCATATCTTTAGAGGGAAATTATATGTCAATGTGCCTAGTTATTTATCCAAATAAATCCAGTGCCCGTTATTTTCTGTGTTATACTTATACACAATGCAGTTCATGAAAAATTGTATAATGTAGATGACAAATGGAGTAATAAATAATTCAAACAATGACATTGAATGCAAATGTTGAATTGGCTCGAGATGTCAAATTTGATTAGCAAAAACAAAAACTGTGTCGTGTCTGTACGACTCTACATCTCGGAATTAATAGAAAATTTGGCAATTTTGATTCTCACCTCTCTAATATAGCTCCTTGACCCTAAGTAATGGTTCTCATACATTATACACGATGCAATTCATAAAATTCTGCGCATACAGTTTTTTTGGCTTATGAATTTGTTGAAAGGTAGCAAAATATTTGAGACACTTAGTTATTTGTTTATAAATATTATATATCTAATCTTACCAACAAAGCACCCGTGGCCTAATGGATAAGGCGTTTGACTTCTAATCAAACGATTGTGGGTTCGAGTCCCACCGGGTGTGTATTCTTTTTTCTTTTTTTTTTTTTTAATTCTGTCAAGGATCCATTTTTTCAGATTTTACCTTCTTTTTCTTTCTTATAACACGTATACGTTCGAATTTCGAGCCATATACATATACTGAAAATCTAAACTCTAAAGATGCACAAAAAGTAGAAGCCAGTTCTTGTAGAGAACTTTTTAGTCCATTATACAGCTCAGTTTCAACATTACTTCACCAAGTCTAGCTTCATCTCCAAAATAAGTCACACTAACTATTGATTGATTGCATAGCAGTAGGGATTAGTGTGCTGTCTTGTCCTTTTTTTGTCCTAATCTTGCGCCGACCATGTTCCTCCATTTGTCTTTGAGATCAGATGGTGTACGTGTTTCATGGAACACCTTCTCTCCCATTTCCAGAATTTTCCTCCATGGCATGTTTTTGTTTGCTTCTGCTGCAAATTTCTCCACTCCCACCTGAGCCAAACATATATCAACAACTCTTATCCAATCCATGAAAATACAGCTAGTGTATGTTTATTCTATACCTTTAGCATCTCTTCTTCTTCGAATGTCCACAATAGCCTCCTTCTCTGATCCTTATTAAAGAAAGAAATGTCCCTGCAATCCATGAGGTAACTTTCTATATTCAAGGTGGATATGAACTCTTGATGTTCCAGTGATGTGAATGTAGAAAAAGGAACAACCTCACTGTCTTTGACTTAGCCACAAATCTGGTTGTTGCCTGCTGGTTATATACTTTCCCTGACGGGGAGGTTACTGGAGCCGATAAAGTAACCTGCTCAGTTACATCTTCTCCATTTCGTTCGTTACTAGATCCCTTTGATGAAGTATCACTTTCACTATCAATAGTATTCAACTCTATCCCTCTTCTTCTTCTTTGCTTATCATTCTGTTGGTGCTGGTCCTGTTCTTTTCCTGAAAATGATTCTTGCATAGACAAAAACGTTGAAACATATCCTCTTTTCCCTGCACCTGTTCTGACTCTAGTTTGATCTTTAGCTGTTTCGTCATTATTTTCATCCTCAGCATCTTGAAACTTCTCTGAAGCTATTCTCTCTTCGCGCTCTGATGCTCCAATCTCGTCTATCACTTTATCAGTACCCACTTTCCCTTGATTCTCTTCCGGTTGATCAGTTTCCTCGATTAATGATATGTTCTCACCTCTTGATATATCAAAATCCTTCTCAACTTGCACTTGTTCCTCTTTTGATGAACAGCCATCCTTCTCTCCTTGTAACTCTTGATTACTTACAATGTCTGTACTGTCCACTGAATGCTCTCGATTTCCATTTTCACTACCAGATAATGTTCTATCCTCACCCCTGCTTTTCAGCTCTTTATCTAGATACATGAAGACTGCCTTTTCTGCGTTAACCGCCTTTTCCCTCAATGTTTTGGATTTAAGTGTTAGAATCTTGAGCCAGCAATAAGGACAAAATGGATTTGCAAGATCCTCACTATTATCCCCCAAATCAGCATACAAACACTCCCCATGAAACGAAAGAAGACAGTCGATCCCGCAACAACGGGATACCCGCTCGTCTGCAACTTCACATACAATACAAGCATCTAAGTTCAGCAGCGGCTCTAGCGATACTCCTCTATTAGTATTCTCATTTGTACCAAGACAATGACGCTTCTTGGGTGGCACATCTCTTTCAACAAAAGTATCTGGAACAATATCAACATCGGTATCACACTGTGTGGTGCTCAAATCATTAGCTTCATCATCCTGTGAGATGAAACGATGAAAATTAAACACAAATACATCAACCTAACAGTTTCTATCTTGCGAGCTACAAATTCAAAATTAAGCACCACAAACACCCAGATACATACGAGTCAAAAAAAAAAAAAAAAAAAATCAATCATGTCGCTGCATCAGGAAACCACAATCCCTAAATTTTCCGATTCTAAAGAAGACTATTCCGAGGAGCAAACAGAGACGAAGGAGGAGAAATAGGGTTACCGGAAGCGAAGGGAGAGATGGATAGGGATCGAGAGAGTTGGGAGAAGACCTAACCAGAATCGCTTTCGCTCTCATCTTCATCTTCTCAATTTCATCAGTCTCCGTTTTGAAATTGGCACTCTCAAGTCTCAACAATGGAAACGTTATGAACAGTAAAGAAGCGTACTGAGGAAGATGGATGAATAAACACATAAAAGTCACAAACCTTTTTTTTTTTTCTAGTCAAGTCACAAAACCTTTCAAAATTAGTGAAAATCCCGAATATACTTTTTCTATATTAAAGTTTAAACAATATTGTGTAAATCATATATAGATCTAAATTAATAAATAAAAAATGTTGTATTCGTTAGACAAAAACAAAAAAAAATGTTGTATTCTTGCATGCTTTACAAAAAAAATATAACCTTCCTTAGTTTTGAATAATGTATCATATATGTATATTTTTCTGACGCCTAAATACAAAAGCATATCAATACTATATTAGATATGATGCATCATATCAAGAAACATGTTGACTATAATGGATAAACATATTTAAATAATGGATAAACATAATTAAACGATGAAAATAGTTTAAATAATTAGTATTTGTTAAGACTGAAACTTTTGTATTATTCTTTTATTGTTTATGTATCTACATTTTTTTAGGAAGATCAAATAGAAATGTATTACATACATGGTACAATAAACTTTAAGTAATTGACAACTATTAGAATCTACTCGACCAAATTGACTTACTATATATATATCATCATATGATAAATTATAAATTTGGTCACATATCGAATTATATAGTTAGAACTAAAGAAATATAGGATTCATATAGTTCATTCTACAAAATCTGTCAGCATATTAAATGTCTTTTTTTTTTTGTCTCTCTTCATCACCATTTTAGTTACACATGGTAGCTGAATTTAAAAAAAAATAACAATAATTGGATTGATTCAGTTAATTTAAAAATATTTGTGAACTTGTTAATACATATATTGCAGTGTATATGTATGTATAAAGTGGGTTAGAGTCTTACGGAACTGGTTTACCCTTTTGTTACTGTATATGTATGGTAAATAAATCTTTAACAAAAAAAATTAGCAGTGTCGTCTGACTTTAACGGCGGGGTTTTAATTGTTGTTAAACTGTACGAAAACTTTAAACCCTTCACTGTTATATTCATCCATCTATATATATGATCTATCTATCTATAGCCTTCTTCACAATCACAACATTTTTACCCATTTCAGTTCTAGCGTTATTTATTGTTGGTGTAAAAAATATTACTGTACTATTTATCTATGTGAAGGTAAGTACTGTAAGTCGTTTGATCCAACCAAAAAAAAAATAAAAAAGTGTAATTCACATTATACATTTAATATGAACATTAACTAAATTTTCAATATATATATATATATATATAATACTAGTATGTTAAATTAAATTGATATATAAGATGTTTTCCCTTATATATTATTTAAAGCCAACTATATATACTTTTTTGTTATAATGTGACAAAGTAAGCTTAGCTCATATCCAAGAAGAGCTGAGGGGACCTTTTTCTTGATTACCGATCGCAGTAAGTAGTAACTGATGGATCGTTGTCTTTTTTTTTTTTTTTTTTTTTAACTTTGTCTTATATATGAAATCGTCTATGCGTGATGAAGAGTAATAATATGAAGTTTAAGCTAATTAATGAAATTATTTTTTTATTTCCCAAACAACAACAACAACAACAACAGCAGCAGAAAGTAGTTGTTCGCTGTACGTACGGGATGGATTCTCCTCAATATCTTAAGGTTCTGTCTTTCTCTTTACTTCTTCTAATGCATGCATGAGACTCTGTTAAAAGTTGGTTTTTATGCGGATATTATTTAATTTCTTCGACAGTATTAACGTATTATAATATACTATATACTCCTTTCTTCGATAGTATTAACATATTATATTATTTTAGGTTTTGTTTTTTTATTGTAAAACATAAAAAAAAAAAAAAGTCTTTAATTGACTGTGAAGTCATTTATCATGAAGCCAATTAATTACCTCTTGGTTCTTAACATTATCTATACGAAGGGGAAAAAAGAAGTCATTTATCTACTCTGTGGAGAAGTTAATAACCCTAAAGTTTCATTGCTTTATTCAAATAAAGATGTATATGAAATTAACACACTTGAGATGATGAGTGGATGGATTCATAAAATTAACGAGTAATTAATTAGGTCAAAAGTGATAGGAAAAAACTGGAGTTTATGCTGAATGATGATCATAATTATAAATGATTTTTACGATGGGACTTAATTTGAGTACAAATCGGTCTTGTTTCTCATTTGACCCACACAGGGAAAACTATATATTGGCATATGAGCACCAAAACATATAAAACCAATCCCTTCACACACAAAAAAAAATCGTTATTTTTGGTCTATATCAAAGACTTTTTATGTAGGGTGTTGGCTAAAATTGTGAAATTTGAATAACATGAATTGGAAAGAAAAAAAGAGAGAGAGAGAGAGAGTATGAAATGTTGTTGTCAAACGGATCCATTACAATGAATACAATCATCAAAACCCATTAAAATCTCTCAGGAAAAAAAAACTATACACTATGAAAAATTGTGATGTCTCATCTCTTTCAAGGGTGTTTAGGCCCTAAAAGCTTCCCTTTTTCTCTTAGACACTGTCGTTAGTTTTAAAATCTCATTACTTATCATCAATCTGTTTCAAACCCTAGCTACTTTTAACATAGAAAAAGATTCCTCGCCCTATATCCTTCTCTCTCTATCTCTATATCTCTTACACTGTTATATACATCAACAAATTTGTTAAGTAGCAATTGAATATGAGAGAGAGAGAGAGAGGGAGAGAGATTGTGTGTAGAGAACTGCAAGTTAATAAAAGAATGTGGGGGTAAAGAGAAGAGAGGTAGTACACAGTAGATGAGGACAATGAGACTTAGTTTTCAAACTTCTTCTTTGCTTTGGCTTTTATTGGTCATATCAGCCTCTTTTATATATAGATGATCTACTTAGCTCTCTGTGTTGATTCTTAGCTTTCAAAGGTAGCTTTTGGCCTCACCCTAGCTATACTCTATACAGGTTACTACTACTGCACATATACATTGGTATGGACTTAATTGCCAACTAGTGCCTAAAAAACCTTTTGCATATTAATTTTCACATATATACTGTATGTAAGACAAAACAATATTATGAACTGAAAATCTTAGGACCAAGAGAAGGCAAGAATGAAGGCATAACCAAAGAAGAGGGGAACCACATTGTCAGTTTTTTTATGGAGTTTTTTTGGGGACCATTAATTTCGTTTCACTCTTTCTCTTTCACTTATTTAAGCTTAACTTTGACAAATACGTACCCTCTCCCCACCTAATACATCAAAATTTTCTAGATAATTTTTTATTTTTTTTTCGACTAGCAAGTAGCAACATTTATGTTGTTTACATGTCTTTAGAATCCAGTCAATTAAGACGGTGGTTTAAATGTGTAAATGCCCACAAGTAGATTTATGTAAATGTTAAAATGTTCCAAGTTTAGTAAAATCCATCGTCAAAAATATATTATTAATTCACGCAGATTTTGATTTACCATATTTATTGGTTTACAAGGGAATATATTTGGTGCATTCACACACACGCTCATGATTGTTGTTTTTTTTCCTTCAATATTTTGAAATTGTCTTGGTTGGTTTGGTTCACATTACCTTGCTAACTTTATAACAATATAAACTATATTACAATTTGTATGTTTTTATACAAGAACAAAAAAAAAAAGATATCAGTTTGCCGAAAATAAATTAAAATTCCAAGTTTGACCCTTGGATACACACAACAAAATATATCAACCCTATATATATATTAATGTTAGAGAGATGATGGATGATGATTGATGATGTGCAAATGAGACAAAATTATATCACACTTTCCTTTTCAATCTTTAAATTCCAAAACAAAAGGTACTGTTGGGTTGCTCCCTTATTAGGTGAAAAAAACCTCACACAACACAGACAATCTCACTCTGTCTCCATCACTACTACTAGCTCTCTATATCTCCCTCTAGATACATCTCCCTATATACTGTATATATATATTATATGTATTGTTTCGAACTCTGCGTGCTCTCACACTTTGTTGCACCTCCAAAAGACAAAGCATATAGAAGAAGAAACTTGTTGTCACGCCTCTCTTTACCCTTCCTTTCTTTGTGGTCCTATATAAAACCCTAGTTTTCTTTTCTTTAAAATTTTATCCATTATATATCAGATCCTATAACTTTCTTCCTTTCTATCTATTTTCCCATATATCCTTCTATATATATTAAGAGATATTCTCACAAGAAATATAAAAGAAAGAAAAAAGGAGAATGGAGTGGTCAACCACGAGCAACGTAGAAAACGTGAGAGTTGCTTTTATGCCACCGCCATGGCCGGAGTCTAGTTCCTTTAACTCGCTCCACAGCTTCAGCTTTGATCCTTACGCAGGTATTCATTCATACGTCATAATAACCAAGTTTATATATATAGCTAGATGCTTTCGTTTCTTTACACATAGATTTGTTAGAAGCGCCGGTTTTATAAATCCACGGTTGACAAATCCATGAACTTTAAAATCCTTATTTTCCCACTTTCAAGTTTCTTGTTATTGTGAGTGATGAAAGTAAAAGAGTGACGTATTTGTCTAAAGATTGTATACTATGACGTCTCTAGACATCATTCCAAAAACCTTGGGATATGTCATCTAAAAACGTACTTTTCTGATGGGAAGTTAAGATTTTTTCTTATCTCATCAGCTTAGACAATTTTCTTGGGATCCCAATTTTTATTCATCGGGATCCAAATGCAAAAAGTTAAAACGTCACTTTTGAAAAGTTGAGAGATTCGTTGGGAGGGTATAGTTCTCTCTAAGATAATGGTTGCGGACATATATAATTTTATTTTTTCTTACTAACTCACGGAAGTTATTTTATTCGGTTTTGTTTTTATAATTATTATTATTTATTGTGCATTTTTTATTAGAGAATGTTTGTTATAAAGTTTTGTTGTGTGTTTACATTTACATACAGCAGGAAATTTATACACGCCGCCTGCCGATACGCAAACCGGACCGGTTATTTCTGTACCGGAACCTGAAAAGATCATGAATGCGTACCGATTTCCGAACAGCAACAACAACGAGATGATGAAGAAGAAGAGACTGACGAGTGGGCAATTAGCTTCACTTGAACGGAGTTTTCAAGAAGAGATCAAACTGGATTCAGACAGGAAGGTGAAGCTGTCGAGAGAGCTCGGTCTGCAGCCACGTCAGATAGCGGTTTGGTTCCAGAACCGCCGTGCACGGTGGAAGGCGAAGCAGCTCGAGCAGTTGTACGACTCACTTAGACAAGAGTACGACGCCGTTTCTAGGGAGAAGCAGATGTTACACGAGGAGGTCTGTACTGTACCATATTGCACTCTTTTAAAATCGCGGGGCATGATTAAATATAATCATATTACTTAAGTTTTAAAATTTATCCCCTAGTTCTTGATTTTATCAGAATGCCCCCTTACAAGATTGGACTGGTCAACAATGCAGGTGAAAAAGCTGAGAGCTATACTAAGAGAGCAAGGTTTGAGTAAGAAGCCACTCTCTGCCGGGACCATCAAAGCTTGCAGTGAGGAAGACACCGAGGAGCTTCCATCGGTTGTGGTAGCTCATCCAAGAACAGAGAATCTGAACACCGGTGTCAATCAAGTCTACCGTATTGATCAATACAACAATCCGATGATGGTAGCTGCTTCCTCTGGCTGGTCGTCTTACCCGTGATAGCTGTTGCTTATCTCAAGGAGAGAAGGAAAGAGAATAGAAGAGAGAGAGAGAGCTAGAATGAGTCAAGAGAGAGCTTTAGACTAGGACTTTGAATAGTGCTAAGACTAAGACAAGTGCTTGTCCCTCATTGTACGATCTTACAACATCAATGGAACTTGTCCTTCTGTTTCAAACGCAATAATCTAATTTGGATGCGACATGCGAGGTTAAATCCAAACATTGTTGGTCAGGATTGTTGAACTATACGTACTACTATGAATTCAGTCAAAACTGTCTATAAACCGAGAAAAGAAAAACGCTGATGGTCATTCTTCTTTCTCTTCACTGAGCAGAAATGTTGCCTTTGTGTGTTGTGTTCTGTTGGTTGGCTGCAAACATGTGGCTAATTCTTAACTTCTTGAACATTCCTAATTAATGTCACTGCACATCAGTGGACTAAATATATATGAAAGATTGTAAAAATCTAAGGAAAAACATGTTAAATGAAAATCAAACAATACTGCCCTAGTTTACGAAAGAAAGAAAAATCAAATCATAAGTGTTAACCTTCTTTATATGATGGGCTCAGACATATATTCCGCTTCCTCCATTCTGTTGTTTCTGCTTGGACCTATCTTTACTAGTTTGGGCCTACTCAAGAGTTAGTGAACATAAAGCCCACCAAGCCTGGTTAAATGTTTAACATGTAAAAAAAGACAAAAAGCGACGACAAAATCAAATTTCAACCAATTTTAAAAACCAACTTCAAAAGACCTTTTCTATAAAATAATACCATACATGCCAAACCAAAATCGAATAGGTTTAGTTGAATTCATATCCGCGAAAATTTATTTATGCCATCTGTTTTTTTTCCTTTCAGATTTATGCCTATATTACTGCAATTTTTGTTTTGTTTTTTTTTTAAATACATAATACATAATTTTGGATGGGAACTGATAGACTAAATATGTAGTAGACGTAATAGACTAAATTAATAATCACAGTCTCTAGAGAGTATATATACTTATATAGTATCCGAATTTATTGCGAGTAATATAATGAAATTATTTCTGAAAAGTTAGTTTCCAAACAAAATAAAACAATAGCAGCGACGCGTACGTATGGGTTGTCCTGATCGGATCGATTCACCGCAATCTAAACAATTCTGACTTTTTGCTTCTGTCTTCCTTTTTGTCATCAGACTCTCTCTCTCTGTTTGAACTTCTTATATGAGAGAGATTTGAATTTAATTTGTTTGACCGCATCATATCAAAAATCATTTTATTTTGTCGTTTCAAAGGCTCTAATTAACTGTGTCAAAGTATATTACCATGCATGCTTTCAACCAATTAACTATGTACCTTACGTTTTTCACATAATTTAAACATAAACACCAGACAATTAAGGAAAAAAATAATCTATTCAAATGGTTGCATATTATATGGTTTAGCTAAATATACAATCTTATATATATATATATATATATATATATATATATATATAT